TGGATACCAATTTTCTATGCCGTGTATTGACTTTTATCGTGACATGGGGTAAAAATCGAACGAATTAGTCGCAATCAACAAGCATTTTTGGAAGAAAATAATAATATATTGTTTTAAAATTACAAAAACTAATAATAATTGCCTTCCAAAAAAAAATCTGAAAAAACAAAAAAAAATGAAATTTCAAAAATTTATATGATTTTTTTACTTTCTGAAATCGGAAATTTTATGATTCAAATCTACGAAAATCAAAAATTTTATATGTATTAACCTATAATGCAAAATAAAAGACCATATTTAATAAGGCTAATATTTTTTAAAAAATGAAATAAAAGAAATATGTAAAATATATGAAATATTGATGTTAAAATCGGACTGTAAATCAAAATCTTATATATATTTCAAATTCAGTATAAAAAAATCGAAAATCAGAATTCTTCCTCAAAATACAAAATATTATTCCAAAATCGAAAAACTTGGGATCGAAATCAACAAAAAGTCTAGTATTGAATATTAAAATTAGGATTGAGGGAATTATATTTATATAATATGAAGTGGAGGTGTATAAAAGTTTCTTGATTTGCTTAGACAAGTTGGTGCAGCACACATGGGAGAGCCTGAATTGACACCTATTTATGAACTAACCCAAATGTCATATCAAATTGCCCATCCCCAGACCATATTCACACAACATCCTTTCCTATTTATTTCATTTTATTATTATAAATATTAATTAAAGAAATATAAATGACAAGCTTTGAATAAAGCAAATAATAATAAAGAAAAAGCATCCCACAGAGAAAAAAAATAATTAAATATTTGAAGTGATATTTGATTTGACAACGTTGTTGTCAAATTGCTGGTAATTTTACTTGTGACTCCACATTCACTGATTAGTGTGTGTCTGTGTGCGATATTACTTTACAAATATCTAAATTTAATCTCTTAAAATTTCATTATTATATAGGCCAAATTATTAAAAAACAAAAAAAAAAAAACCAAATCTTTGGATATTACAATCATCTCCTTAACTATATATTGTTTTGCGAAAAAGCCCCATCTTCAGTAAGTAAATTTGAAACTATAAGTGTGGACGTTTAAGATAATATATAGTTGAGGGAGCTGATTGTAATTATCCAAACATAAGGGTTACTTCAGGGGTATGTGTATAAATAAATGAAGAAAGGAAATAATGGCAAGACATTTCTGAAAATGTTGAAACATTTAAGATAGTATATATATATACATTAACAACAATAAAAGGTGATATTATTTAATTTCTGAAAGAAAATAAATATGTTGTTGAATTTTCTGTAAGTCAAAAGCTGCCTGCCTGGCAGTAACAGAACAAACATGGACAGCTTAAACCTTGAGTTTTTAAAGCTTACTTCAAAAAGAAGAATAAAATTAAATAATAATATAATATCAAAATTAATTTATAATAATATTGTTAACAATATTATCAGAATAAATTAGTATCCAAACCCAAAACTAACCGGGTAGGATTATTTTACCCATGGGTCTAAGCCCATCTCAATCAATCCATATGTAACATACCAACCAACAACATTGATGGCTATTTTTTGTATGTGAATAATAATTAATAAATATTTAACTCGTGTATTTCACCAGATGTAACAGTAAGTTAACCTGACCCAAACTATGAGGAAGCATCGTTTCGCGTTTATGATCGAAAATAACGTAGAAATTTCTTAAAAACCGTTCTCTAAATGCCTCGTCGAGCCTTACATTACTTCGTTGTTACATATTCATATTCAAGTATTAGTATAATTTCGAGTATATATATTCCCTACACATCAAATTCAACCCTTTGAAGCTCAAGTGGAAGCACCATATGCCCTTCTCTAATAGCCACAAGCTCCTTAAAATCCCCTTCCAAATAGCCTCTCAAGAAAGCAACCGAAACCCCTCCAACAAATCTCCTCATAGGCTCCCTCGATTCCCCGTTCTTGCACAAACAATAGCTCGCCTTCCCACGTATCCCTTTCGTACCATCGTCAAGCATGTCGAGATGCCCGTAATCTTTCGCCACAAAGTAATGCACCGGCTTAGAGCATTCGTTGTAGAAATCCTCGTGGTTCACCCCCTTTGGGGCACAAGGTGGGAAAAGTGGATTTCGTTTTACTTCTCCCAATCCAGAACCAACTATTAGCACTCCCATTCCGTCCAGGTCGAACGAATGCGGGGTGTAGGTGAAGACTGGAAGGGGGTGTTGTTCGCCTTTTCCAGTCCCGTCAACAGGGTCCACACCTATGAGGGCCGAAAATTTTAGGGAAGTTGGAGATTTTTGCTTGTTATTTAGAGCCGAAGCAAACGCGACTTTGCCTCCTCGACTATGGCCTGCTAGTGCTAGCTTTGTTAGGTTTGGCTCGACATTGGGTGGGAGAAAACGGGATAGTCCATTGGATAGCCAGTTGGTTATCTCGGATGTGACCTTGATTTCTTCTTTCGCGTCTGGTCCTGTTATGGAGTATAACTGGTGCATTAACAAGAAACAGTTAGTAATCTTACAATCTTTCAATATCGTAAATGAATCAAGATCTGTTATTGCGTGGCGTAAAACTATGTTTATCTGTAGCTGAAACAAGAAACAGAGGGAAAGAATCATGCATTTGTTACAGAGTGCAAGCCGGAAGTATGTGTTCTTGTTCTTGAATATTTAAGAAACAATCTAGAATCCCGCGATGACGGACGCACTTCATATTCAAAGCTCGAAAATCATGTTCAAGTTTTCAGCATCTTTAATTCCAAAACAAAGACTAGTTTGATAATTCATAACTAATTCAATAACCGAACGTTATTTAGCGTTTTATACAGCCCAACATCGTTCGTGTCAGCCGCAAAGTTTTGCTTATATTAGCTTCGTCTTACTGAAAATTTTGTATTAGACCTTACCAGTAGGAAGTCCAACTACGCAATTGGACCCTCAATATGATTACAATACTCTGGCCTCGTTTGGCTGCCAAGATAAGATTAAATAATCTGATGAAACACAATTATATTATTGGACCTTCGATGCACCAATAAAAGCCATGCCTAGTAGAAGTCAAAAGAAGTCATGATAACATAATATTTGCGGGACGACCCGGTAAGTTATTGGGGATACCAAACATCAAATAAAATCTAATTGTTTAGTAAATCATGGCTAATCTACCCAACCAAACGAGGCCAAATAGTATCTTGGTTAATCTCATTGGGGCAATTAAACAAACACTTGCAGTGCTTCAAGAATCTGATTGCTTGAACAATTCACCCACCCCAGTTTCATGATTATCAACAAAAACGTCACACATTAGAACAATATACTACAATTCAACTACCTTCAAAGAATCAAAGATGCCATTACATCGCAATCAGGACCATAAAAACTACACATTTGATAAACAAAAAATTAAAAACAAAAACCCTAATTTCGAACAGAAGAACAACTGACCTGCGGCGCAACAACGATGAATCCGTGAGATGCTACGTGTTGAAGAAGCTGAGAGTAGAAAGAATTGTACAGAAGAAATCCATGGAGGAAAACCAGCACTGGGTAAACCCCTTCTTCCGAAGGCGCGCAAATCAACAGTGGCTTTGGCGGGGGAGAAGAAGAAGAAGCATTCTTCCTGCAATTATCAGCTTCGATTTTTATCAATTTCGTTGTGTGATTTCCGATATCGAAAACATTTGATGATGAAGCGGAAGTTGGAATTGCAGTTGAAGAATTCATCACCATTGCTAATTTTGCTGTAAATTTCTTTTTTTATTTTTTTATTTTTTTCTGGCCCTTCTTTATTTTATTTATTGCAAAAGGGATAAGAAAAGCCCAACTTTGTGGCCCTTAAACCCCCACATTTCGTGTGGAAAAGTAACAAGAATTTGGTGTCAAAAGATATTTTACACACTATGAAAGGATTGATCTTTAAATGTAGGGTATCAAATCACCAAGCTCCATTCAAGCCTGCTATAGATATATATGAATCCCTCTTGGCAGTATTGATTACAGCCAAGAAGAATAGATATATGTATATATAGGTATGTATAAAATACAGAAACAGGAATGACAAGTATGAGTAAATTGAAAGATAAAAATAGATTGAGATTTTCAGCTCAGTCTTCCAATCTCACACCAGAGATTCACAGTTCCCAATTATACACCACCAGAGCACCTCAAGGAGAACAGATCTCCTTTCTCTCTCACAACACTCAAACCCTAAAATACCCAGAAAACCACGAAGGAAGAACAGATCAAGCACTCAAGCTAACCCACTCACCAAAACCCCAATTTCTGAACTCACAAAGAAGAAAAACGAAGGGATTTAGGTCTGACTAGGGTTTTCTCTGTCTTACCCTCTTCCAGCCTCCATGCCAACATATATAGGGACTGAAGTCAAAGATAGCCGGTGAAGGCTGTACCGGAGGGTCAAAGTCAGCACTGTACCGTGCACTTTGACCTCCAGCCATAACTCAGTCAAGGCAGTACAAGGGAGGAAGAAGACAGACGAAGGAGCGGCGGAGAAGAGAGGGTAAGAGTTAGGGTTTCAGAGTGAGAGAAACGAAGAGAGAGAAAATGCTATTTAAGTGAGTCGATGAACGGTCCAGATTGAGCCTAAAATCCAACGGATGGATTTGGTTCACAAATGGGTTGGGCTCACTCATAAATGCCTTGGGCTTAACTCAATGGTGGTGTATAAATGATGGCAATTGGGCTTTATGGCCCAGAACATATATGGGCCAAAATCCAACAATTCTCCACCTTGGACCAAATGTGAATCATTAGTGAAAATTTCTAAAAAATTTTTGGAAGTCATCATTGCTGATTTTTGACACACCAGTAAGAGCACACAGTTCATACAAGTATATCAAGTTGAATTCACTCAGAATACAACTTATCTGCACTTTTTAAAATAAATGCAGTATTGCAATCACCTAGACAGCACAATCTTAGTCACACAGAAAAAGATTAAACAAGCAATCACAAAGAAAGCATAAATACCAAGTCACACAGACTACAAACTAGCACACAGCAAGTCAAGGTTTGGAAAGAATGTTCAAGTTTTGCAAACAAGAATAGAATTTTTCAGAAGGCAGACATTTAGTTCCCATGTCAGCTGGATTGAACTCAGATGGGATTTTTTCAAGGTCAATAATCCCTTTTTCAACCACATCACTAATGAAATGGAACTTCACATCAATGTGTTTAGTTCTATCATGAAAAACAGGATTTTTACACAGTTGAATGCCAGATTGACTATCAGAAAATACTACCACTTTGGAATTAAGCATATCAACTTCCAACAACAGCCCTTTAAGCCAAATGGCTTCTTTAATAGCCTCAGTAGCAGCTATATATTCAGATTCAGTAGTAGACAGAGCAACAATGTGTTGGAGTTGAGATTTCCAACTAACACAAGCACCATTTAAGGTGAACACATAAGAGGTAGAAGATTTTCTATTGTCCCTATCATTGGCAAAGTTTGAATCCACATAACCACAGAGTTCAATTTCAGATTTGCCTTTTGAAAACATCAAACCAGTTTTAACAGTACCTTTCAAATATCTAAGCAGCCATTTTAGAGCCTCCCAGTGAGGCAAACCTGGATTAGACATATATCTACTCAAGCAACTCACAGAATATGCAATGTCATGCCTAGTACTAACCATTAAGTACATAACAGAGCCAATGGCATTGGCATAAGACACATTTTTCATTTCAGAGATTTCAGGCTCAGTCTTGGGAGACTGATCCTTACTTAGCAAAAAATAAGAAGCAAGAGGAACAGACACAGGTTTGGCAGACAGCATAGAAATTTTTTCAAGGATTTTCTCAATATAGGAGGATTGATTCAGAAACAAAGTGCAGCCAGGTCTATCTCTAATTATGTCCATGCCAAGAATTCTTTTTGCATCACCTAGAAGTTTCATATCAAACTCATCACTAAGGCATTTAATCACATGATTAATAGTTTGAATGCAAGGACTAGCAAGAAGCATGTCATCCACATAGATAAGCAAGAACACATGAATTTTTGCAGATTCTTTAAAGTACAAATAAGGATCATAAGAACTCCTTTTAAATTTTAAAGACATCATGCATGCATCAAATTTCTTGTTCCACTGCCTAGGTGACTGTTTCAGTCCATACAAAGATTTCTTAAGCAGGCACACATAATCAGGATGTTTTTTATCAACAAAACCCTCAGGCTGGCACATATAAATTTGCTCATCTAGTTCACCATGCAAAAAAGCAGTTTTCACATCCATTTGTTTTAATTCCCAGTTAAAGTGAGCAGTTAAAGCAAGCATGATTGTAACAGTGGTGAATTTCACAACAGGAGCAAATATTTCAGTGTAATCAATACCTTCCTTTTGGGTAAACCCCTTAGCCACTAGCGTAGCTTTATATCTAACAGAGTCAGATTCATGTTTAACCTTAAACAACCACTTACAGTCCACTAAAGAGCATGCAGGAGGTTTAGGTACAAGAATCCAAGTATGGTTAACATGTAAGGACTTCATTTCATCATTCATAGCATTTAACCATTCAACAGACTCATCAGAATTCAAAGCTTCCCTATAAGACTTAGGTTCATTACCATCTAGAGAATCAAACACATGAAACACATGAGAAGCAAGTTAATAATCATTCAAATGAGGGGGCCTAATAATGTTTCTTCTATCTCTGTCCCTAGCAAGTTGATAATCACTAAGATCATTCACAGAGGGAACATCAAGATTAGCATTTTGATCAAAAACAGTGTTTTCAGGCATCTCATTATTAACAACTTCATCATCAGAGTTTTCATTTTCAGTTTGAATAGAATTAACAGGTGGAATCTCCACCTCAGATGAAGTGGTATCAGGTGACACAATAGTAGGAGCAGATAAGCATGGAAATTCATTTTCATTAAACACAACATTCCTGCTAATCACAGTTTTAAAACCCTGATCACCATACAACCAACATCTATACCCCTTAACCCCTTCAGGGTATCCTAAGAAAACACATTTCACAGATCTGGGGTCAAGTTTATCAAGTTTTTGATGAACAAACACAGTACAACCAAAAACTTTCAAATTTGATAAATCAACAGGTTTACCACACCATTTAAATTCAGGCAATTCCCCATTTAAGGGCACAGAAGGAGACCTATTTATCAAATAAGCAGCAGTAAGAACAGCTTCACCCCAAAAAGGTTTTTTCAAGCCAGAAGAATTTAGCATAGACCTAACTCTATCAAGCAAAGTTCTATTCATTCTTTCTGCAATACCATTTTGTTGGGGAGTGTACACAACAGTTTTATGTCTCTTAATGCCAGATTCAGAACACAGAGTATCAAATTCAGCATTACAGAATTCAGTTCCATTATCAGTTCTCAAAGTTTTGATTTTCTTCCCAGTTTGGTTTTCAATCAAGATTTTCCAATTTTTAAATCTTTCACACACATCAGATTTATTCTTGAGTAAAAACACAAACACTTTTCTAGAAAAATCATCCACAATAGACAGAAAATATCTATTACCACCATGAGAAGGAACTGGGGCAGGGCCCCACACATCAGCATGCACATATTCAAGTATATCTGAACATTTAGAAGAATTGGGGAATGGAGAAACATGAAATTTAACTTTAGTTTGTTTTCCAAAAATGCATGAGTCACATATAGGCAAATTGGTCACACAATCATTACTCAGATAATTATTCTTATGCAGAATTTCAAGACCTTTACCACTTATATGACCTAACCTTTTATGCCACAGAATAGACATGACATGATTAACAGTGTTGGCATGCAAAACAGGTTCAGGAGAACACACATAGAGGTTTTGCATTCTAACAGCTTTGAAAACAAATTTATCATGCAACATGTTTCTTTGACAACCATCTCCCCAATTACCATGCATACCACTATCTTCAAGAATAGCAACAGATAACAAATTACTGCTCAGTTTGGGAACATGCCTAACATTTTTAAGAACTAATTCAAAACCAGATTCAAATTTTAGGCAGATTGTTCCAATTCCAACTACAGTTCTTTCACTGTTATCAGCCATAGACACATTACCATTTTCAAGTTTCACATAGGAGGAAAACAAATGTCTATGAGGTGTCATATGATGGGTGCATGCAGAGTCAAAAATCCAATCATTATCACAAAGAGAGGAGATCACAGAGTTCACATAATCATGCATTACATCACCAACCATAAACACATCACCAAGGTTATCAGTCACAACATTAGCATGTTCATTGGTTCTTTCCTTTTTAGGCTCAGAACACTCATTAGCATAATGACCATTTTTACCACAGTTATAACACTTTCTGCCTTTGGCTTTAAACTTATTCCACCCCTTGCCCTTTTTAGGTTTTTGAAAAGACTGGTTTTGGTTACTAGAGGAAGCCTTGTTTTGAAATTTATTTTGGAAATTGCTTTGAAAATGATTTTTAGGCTTCCCTTTCACAAAGTTGATTTCACCAAAAGATTTACTACTCTTGGTAGTTTTTAAATCCAGTTCTTTGCTTTTTAAACCATTTATTACAGTGTCCAAAGAAACCTTATATCTGCCATACTTAATGGCTGACTTTACATCACTGTAAGTATCAGGGATAGCATTTAGCAAAACAATAGGAGAATAATCATCAATATTTTTGTCTCCAGTCAGTTTAATATCCTGAACCAGTTTTGTAAAAACATCAAGGTTTTCATCAATGTCTTTGTTTAAATCCAGTTTGAATCTAAAAATTTTTTCCAACAAAAACATTTTGGAGGGCAAGGAGGTTTCAGTATAAAGTTCTTCCAATTTATCCCACAAGGCTTTAGCATTATCTTGTTTTCCTAGTTTTCTAATCACAGAGTCACTTAGGTTCAAGATAATCAAAGAATAAGCAAGTTCATCAAATTCT